TGCATACAATGTTAAAATATCACATTTATGTCTGTGTTTTAATGCTTATCAGATTAAGATTCAGCTTGTTGCTCGTTAACAATTAAATTGGGTCCTTCAGCTTCACGTACATATTTCTTCGCGTAAATCATCAAAATGGCGGCTGATTTGACCGTAATAAATCCCCATATGCACGCAACGGCCAAATCCATACGTTGAGTGTCTGAAAACATACAAATTATTAATACAATTAATTTTAATAAAAATATTTATAATTTATTACATTGGTGCAGCAATAGATAGTAAACTAGGTGATAGACAAATCCAGCGAATCCCAATGCAAACATAGTGAAACCCAGCCAGTAGAGTTGTGATAGTTCGTGGATTTCATACCATAAGGATAATCTTCGCCGCTTATGCAACCAATTGATATGAGCGGTCACAGCGCTAATGGCAGCTAAAAATATAAAACGTGAGTTCAAGGATTTGAAGGTGTAACAGTCGCGTCAACTGTGTATTATACAGAGGAGTGTTCACAGCCCGGCTAGCTCAGTCGGTAGAGCATGAGACTCTTAATCTCAGGGTCGTGGGTTCGAGCCCCACGTTGGGCGCATCTTTTTATGTTCTTTAAATTCGTTAGACATTTTTCCCAACATGATTTAGCATAAACTAAGAATACGTACCTGTTACGAATCCGTACACCGATGCTGGATAATAATGCATTAGTAAAAAGACTATAAACGCGGAAATTCCGGCGATAGTATAGACACAACTCACTATGAAATGAACCAAACCCATTTTTAAAATATTCAAGAATTAAAAATGCTTGGTTTATTTTATGTGGCACACAGAATTATTGTCATTCACAGATCACAGCCACTGAAGCACTCTCGTTGCGTGTAGCGTGCAGTGTTTCGTGATTTATATTGTTCAAGGTTCTGATTTGGATTCGGAATCTAATTTATTTTTGTGCACTACTTATCTACTACTTATCACATTGTACCGAATTAATATCATTGCAGCCACTGTTGGGTGCTTTCTATAGATATAAATTAAATATTTACACGTAACGTAAGACGCGATTATGATGCACAATTGCGGTGTTTTCTACGGGCAAATATGTCGGGATTATACCGGGTGCACGTTTTATTTTATTTGTTTACATCTCGTTGCAAGCACAGCTGGCAAGTTTTGTAGTGATGGAACTCAGCTGTTTGGTTTTTAAGAATATAAAGCATGTGGATACGTCTTTTGAAACTTAGTTGAGGTACAAACTGGTTGAAGTGTCATTTTGTGTGAGAGGAACAGAGATGGAAATACCCTGTAGGTGACGGATCAATAGAATAAGCGTCAATGTGCTTTGTATAGATTTCGCCTTGAAACTTATACAGGGTCATTCAAAAACACATTTAATATGAACTTAAACACATTTTACTCCAAGATTTTGAGGCTTATTAGGTGTGAAAAGTGTTAATACTATATAATAATTACGAATATTTTTATTTTTAACGATTTAAGTTAGTATAAAACATAATTTAGTTTTTTAAACGAAGAATATTTATGATAGGCAACTCTATATACAGATAAATACTTCCTGGGAAGGTAGAATAGCTGGATTTATATAAGTACTGCATTTGCTTTAAATTTGTCAAATTCTGATTCATTTGGCACACAACTATCCCTCTCCTCATGTTCAATTATGTTCACTCTGTCTCCTGGTCTATTCACCCTAGAAACACAAAAATTTTGATGTATTTTCATCCTTATAATATAAATAAAAAAGTTATTACCTTCCAAAAAGTTTAAACAACCATCCTGGTTTGCTTATCATTACTAGTGCAATAACCAGCAATACCAAAATTAATAGCACCACCAGAACTATAATCGTGAGGTCCCAATAAACCATTTCTGCATCCATATCAGGTTTAATATAATTTTTTAACTTAAATTCCGTAAGATATTTTTCGTATCGTTTCCACATCACTTCTAAATGCATTTCTAACAATTGGTATCCTTCGTAATTTGGTTTCATCACAACGGGAACAGCAAAATTTACCGTGACACATTTTTCACTATCTGGCCAATAATATGGACATCTTATCAAATCCGCAATAAGAACATTGTTTTTTCTAAAAGTAAATTAGAAAAGTAGAGTTTTGATGAAGAATATAATTAAATTGTTTATACCCAATCGGTTCTAGAACAGGCATCGCCTGGTCTTTGCAATATTCAGCCGCCATTTTGCCAATGGCTGTTCGTAAATTTTCCACATTCTCCTCAATCTCGTAGTCGACATCTCTCAATCCATATAAATGAGCTTTATAGTGACTTTTGTCATTTGCTCCTGGTGAAGGCCAAGTTGATGTAGATGTTGGAGCTTCCGTTGTCGTTAATGACGTAGTTCCTTATATTAATTATAATTTTAAAAATATTAATTTATAAGAATATTTTATGACTTACCATACGCAGTATATTTTAGTTTGAATTCTCTAATTTTTGATTTTCCTTCTTCTGATTCCCCGATAAATAGTTTTATATAAATAATATTAGAAGAAATAACAATTTTGCCTTCTGGAAGGCCTTTTTCAGTTAGTGCAATGCCAGTACCCTCTTCATCCATATCAGGACCTCTTTTAATAAGTAAATAATCTCCGTAGATTGATTGTAGATCTACATTTTCCACTTCTATGATTAACTTGAAAGAATGAGGCAGTTTAATTAAGTATTCTCTTGAATTTAGTGTTGAAACAGATAATTCATGCTCCTGCTTATCTTGTACTTCAATAACTTGGGGATCTAAAAACAGTTTTCTAGTTATTTAACGTTATAAGGTTTTTAAAATATGCTTTTATTACCTTGCAAAGTTGCTGTTACTCCAAAGAGGAGTATAACAAGTAAAACCAACATTTTTCTTTAAAACAATGGAATTTTCACGTTTATTCCGATGAAACTAGTTATCAACATCACATATTTTGGTTGTTATCACTCATAAGCCTAATCTGGTAGAGATAAATACCAATTTTTAAAATTGAATTTGGTGATAAGTCTAGTTTGCGTCTTTTTAGATTAGAATGTTGTATTTAGTGTTGCATACAGTAAAACCACATTTAAACTTATATAAGCGTCACACTGACAAGTTTTTATAATTTTACACAAGATTTACAAAATATGAAGCATTATATATTTATATTCGCATTATTATCTTTAATTATAAAGGTTAAAAATGTGCAATACATTAGTTTAACTCCCGAAGACAAAGAATACTTGAAAAGACAACTGCCGAAGAATCACAAATATAGTTTACCAATGCAACAGATATTCAACGAATCTCATTTAAAAATATATGACGACCGAGCCAAACGACAATATATGATTTATCCACCTGACCCTTATCATGGTGCAGCACCTGCATATCAATTAAACCTACCTATCATGGCAGCAATGCCCCCGCAAACAAATCCTTACGTTGTCATGCCTCAACATGATGCCTATATGCCTGAAGGTCCTCATCATCAACAGATTCAAGCAAGAGCAAATTATCCCCATTTACCGATTCCAGAATCTATAAAAGTCACGACCGCTTTATTAGATCCTTCAAATTGGAATGATTTGAGATTTGAGAATTTCTCTCCAACCACTGTAAAATTCGATTTGGATGGTATTGCGAATAAGGCGTTTGATGAAGCGATAAAATCAAGAAAAGATTCAGTTTCAGAACCACATACTGAATCTATATGGAAAACTGCATCGCTTACTAAAAGAAAGGTGTTGGAAGAAACAACAGCTCTCGCTACAGCAACAACACCTTTGAAAGATTTACAAAAAGTATCAAGTGGGAAGGATTTTGCAGAATATGCTACGCAACCTACGAAACAAACTCGTGAAATGATGAAAACCACACTTGGAATTAGATCTGTTTTGGAAAGGGGTTTAGGCATTGAATTATCTGCGTTCAATCAGTCAGAATGTGAAGCAATGACACCAGAAGGTGGTGTCAGTATCCCATCGTTACCCCCATTGAGTCCTATAAAAAGCATTGTACCTACTCCTAGTTTATCAGGAAGCCCACAAAAAGATGCAGCGCTCAAAGATAAGTTGATACAAATTTTGGAGGATGTAGAATCTATGAAGTCAAAAGTACCTGCACCCAAGGAAGGTCTTCCTTGTTCAATAGTAGGCAAATGGATCTCATCATTAGCTGGAGGTGGTTTTGAGATTGATCAAACAAATGGTATTAATTTTAATGTTCCGATTCTTCCGAGTTTGGGTGATGGGTTTCTGAAAAACGGAGAATGGAGGATCACGGCTTCCACCCCATTAGAAAATGGCGGATTGTTTGTGTTAACTGCTACTAGATTATGTGATCTTTCAATGGCGACATTTACAGGCGAATGTCGAACTTGTAACAGCGAAGAAATTGTCACTGGTCATTGGTTAATGGTGAAACCAGCCTTGACCTGTGAAGAAATGAATAAAGGACAAGATTTTTTCGGGGATACATGGAGACGTCAAGCCCCACCTACTACTGGTGGTGAATGTGCAACAGAAAAAATCAATTAATCATGTGCTTTGTTTGTTTCAAAGTATAACCTCTAAATGTAACTAGGTATTGCATAATATTTTTCTTTTTTTGTGTTTCTGAATGGTTCGCTTTACACTTTAACAGGCGTGCGCATTTAACCGCTTCCAATTTCGATTACACCTTCAGTTGTTCTTGTGCACCGAAGATTGTTACATCCTTCCGTGCGCGCGTTTATGCAACGCAGCGATTGCGCAAGCGCAGTAGCACAACCGAAATGAATTATGAAGCGAATCATTAAGAGAAGCAGCCATCAACACGATAAGCATCGAATAACGAGTAGAAAAAGTGAAACGACAACTCACTGCACGACAATGCCTCGGCGCGTTAAAGTTAATCATTATTATCTTCTAATGACAAAAGGTGTAGAAATTGTGTGTATAAAAAGTCAGGCGTACGCTTGAAAATTCTTCAGTTCAAATTTAAACTTACCACCAACAATATGGAGAGGCGAAATATTTTTTTGTGTTTTATGTTGGTGCAAGTTGTGGGTTTGTGGGCGCAGGGAGCTGGTTATGTTGAACGGCAATTATTATGTGCATTAGATCAAGCGCCTTGTGATGCTTGGGGACGTCAAGTTAAAGGTAAGTAAAAAACAATTTCTGTGGGTACAAAAAGTGTTACCCTTTTTTAAATTCTGTGTTTTTGCAGCTGCTTTGCCTGAAATCATTGGAAACAACTGCGAAAATTGCAACCGTGCACAATTTAATAATGTAAACCGTGTCGCGAGATTTGTAGAAACACGGTATCCGAATTTATGGGCGGCTATTGTGCAGAAGTATTCCCAGCAGGGTCAGGAACAACCGGGACAGGCGCAGGTACAAGACACGCCTGACCAATTCTACAACATTGCACCAGCAATCTAATTTATGATCTCTTTTATTTTAAAAACGTGTTTTTATAAACGTTCTACAAACACTTAAATGTCTATTTTTATTTTTATGAACCCATATTAACCTGTAAGTACATAACAACTTACAAAAAACAGAAATATTGTTTAAATGCATTGATAAAACTGAAAAATAAGTGTTATTTAAAAAATGCATCATTTTTATACTTGGCATATTGTTCTTCATCTAATAATTTATCCGCGTTGGCTATATCCTCATTAATGGCGGCGATAAGCGCCTCTAGAGTTTCAAAGTTTTTCTCTGGACGCAAATATCCGACAATACCAATCTTCAATTCGTTGTCATATAAATTGCCGTCGAATTTGTGCATGATATGTGTTTCCATAGATTTACGCTCGTTTTTATAATAAGGATTCCAGCCGATACTGATGACCATTTTGTGAATGTTTCCTAGTATTTTAGCCCAACCAAAGTAAATACCAGTAGAGATAGATTCCGGTAACTTATTGACAACCTCCTCGGAGAAGTTGGCCGTTGGAATGCCGAGTTGTTTCGAACCACGCCCGAAACCCTTGATAATCGTCCCGGCAGCAAAATGTGGTAATCCTTTCGGTGTCATATTTAAATTTTTTGATAGGGTAGGCTCGGTATCACTCGGCGGAATGTATTTGTATTTATACGAAGTACAAAAACAGCTGAGTGACTCCGCTGCGTGTAAAACTGAGGTATGCAGTGAGGTTAGTTCAAGCCGCTGCGGTTTTAGTTTGTAGCGTCCTTGATGATCAACAAATCCACACTCTCTTCTCTAGATAAAATTGAAATATTCGGAATACGAGTGTTGTCACTTCGCCACCTGTAACAGTCAAGTATCATCCATGCATCCACAACATCCGCAAACCGAGAAGGTAAGTGGCATAATAAATGCTAGTCAATTGTTTTACGATACCTTGCATTCCCCTACTAATTATAAACACAACTCCAACACGGTAGGTGTCTAGATAAATATGTGCACTGTGCACCAATATATATTATATCATACGGGCAAACAGCGTAAAACAAATACACGCGGATGTGTCTGATCACCAAATGTTGCGAGCATATTCAACCGCTTCGCTTTTTAACGCCGATAGCAGCACGTAATCATAAGTCAGACTGATCCAGACTCTGCAAGGTTGGATTTAGTTGAGTGACAACTATGATACGGTTGTAAATAATATTTCATCACAAGGTAAACGTTACCAATGAAAGGGTTTAAAACGCGCTGTATAACATCCTAGCTAAAATTAAGCCTGGAATACAATTGAAAAACAAGTCGCGCTCTCGCTGCTAGTTGAATAAATTTATCGAACAGTTGACTAGAACAAACGAGACTAATCGCACGAATGTCCACAGTACAAGTGACTCTGACCACGGACGATGTAAGTTCATAATAATTAATTATTGTGTAAATTGTGATAGCGCTAAAATTAAAAAAGTTAAAATTGTTTGTATAGCGTCGCGAATCGATGTGTAAAACAGTTTGTTTCGCGGCGTGTAATCATGTCACAATCATTCATATTCTTATCTTTATATTTTTTCGAAAATAAATATAAATTAACCGATAAAAATTAAGCGGTGTGTCGGCTGACGGGTTAATTATTGCGATTTCATTGTGATTTGATAGAAAATTACTATGAATGATACGTACAGCGATTAGCACTTTATTTTTCATTTGCATTCGTGAGCAAGCATTAAAGTTCGGGGTCATTAGGCAATAAAAGAAGGAATTTTCCGTCGATGGTTCAATAATTACCAGCGATAAATAAATAATGTGAAAAAAATATCGAAAATCAAGGCTTTGTCAATTTTATTAGCGCGTTGTCATGGTAACATAACAATGACTCGCGTTTAACTCCTAATAATTTTGCAAATTCATAAATATACATTTTTATTATAGTTGGCACAATGATATTAACTTTTAAAAACTTTTCACGTTTTTATTTATTAATATAAATATCACTTGTATTTTTATTTTTATATTGATTACAATATTATTATGTAAAAGTTTGAAATCCATGATGCACGTTGTGTAGGTAAACATATTCAATCACACTTACGTTTTATTCGAGCACTTATGGCTGTCCAAGCAGTGTTTGAACCGCCGCATTGCGTCTATTTTGAAAATGCGGTGATAAGAAGTATTTTTACAGCGCGCGGGCATAAAACCATCACCAAATGAGCGCAGTGTTTTCATTACGCACTTATCTAACGACGAGCGCGCGTACTTGATATATAAGTTCGATTCGTTGCCGTCCATCTGTTGGTTTTCGTGTGTCGTGCGGAACTGATGCTCGGGGGTTCATCAGTCACCAGATTTAAGCCTGTTATTTTGTCGCTGTGCTCCTTGATAAAACTATTACGTAAACAAGCGCTGCGGAGTTTTTGTGGCTGTGTGTTTAATTGCATACTAAGTAGAGTTAATTAACAACTTGTTTGCACATTATATTGCCGCGCAGAATCATGACGAGCTTATTAGAACAAGTATGGAATTAATTATTATTTTTCTATTCTTATTTTGAAGTTGGTAAAACTGAAGTGTTTGTGTTTTTTCAGGTCAAAGGACATTCAAGGTCGTCCTCAAGTTCGCGAGAGTTCCGCGAAAAGACCAAACAGGATGCGCTCAACAATCTTAATAAGGAACTCAACAAGTTGGCGGATATGGCGCCGCCAGCCCAGCGCGAACTTGTCCACAAAGAAATGCAAGGATTTTCGGATTTGTTTGAGCGTTTTCTAGCTGAAGAAGGTCCTTCTGTGCAATGGGACCGCATGGAGAAGTTACCTGACGGTGCTGTTCGGAATTATCAAACACTAGAAGTGCCCACTACTGACCTGGTGCATCAGATGTTGCAGAAATTGGTTGTGGTGAAACTTAATGGCGGTTTGGGTACTTCCATGGGTTGCCACGGACCGAAATCAGTCATCACCGTGAGGAATAACTTAACTTTTCTGGATTTGACCGTCCAACAAATCGAAGTAAGTATATTTTATCAAACAGAAACTAATTAGAAGATTATATATAAATAAACTTGTATTTTATTAGCATTTAAACAAAACGTATAAAGTCAACGTGCCATTGGTTCTCATGAACTCATTCAACACCGACGAGGATACGGAAAAGATCATACGAAAATACAAGAATCTCCAAGTGGAGATTCATACGTTTAGTCAAAGTTGCTATCCGCGTATCAACCGCGAAACCTTACTGCCGATTACAAATGGTTATGATATTGAAAAAGACGTGGAGGCTTGGTATCCGCCTGGTCATGGTGATTTCTATAAAAGTTTCCAGAACTCTGGATTGTTGAGGAAGTTTATTGAAAACAATCGGGAATATTGTTTCATTTCCAATATTGATAACTTGGGTGCAACTGTGGATATGCAGATTTTGAACAAGTTGCTCAATCCTGCACAGGAGTCAAAGCATGAGTTTGTGATGGAGGTGACGGATAAAACACGCGCTGATGTTAAAGGTGGTACTTTGATTCAGTACGAGAACAAATTGCGATTGCTTGAAATCGCGCAAGTTCCAAAAGAACACATTGATGATTTCAAATCGGTTAAAACATTCAAGTTTTTCAATACGAATAATATTTGGGCTAAACTCAGTGGTAAGTTATGAAATTTAGTGTTTTTTGTTAGCCTAATGCTGGTTTTTATAGCAATTGAACGTGTTCTCAACGAAAAGACATTGAACATGGAGATTATCACCAACGACAAGACCATTAAACACAAAGGTAATAATTTGAACGTTATTCAGCTGGAAACAGCCGTGGGCGCTGCGATGAAAGTCTTCGAGAATGCAATCGGTATCAACGTACCACGCAGTCGTTTCCTGCCCGTTAAAAAGACCTCTGACCTGTTGCTTGTTATGAGCAACTTGTATAGCATGCGAAATGGTTCGTTGGTGATGTCCCCGCAGCGTATGTTCCCTACTACGCCACTAGTCAAACTCGGCGATAATAACTTCTCTAAAGTGAACGATTTTCTCAATCGCTTCGCGAATATTCCGGATCTCATCGAGTTGGACCATCTGACCGTTTCGGGTGATGTAACATTCGGACGCAGTGTCAGCTTGAAGGGCACAGTTATCATCATTGCGAACCACGGCGATCGGATTGATATTCCATCCGGGGCTTTACTGGAGAATAAAATCGTGTCGGGCAATTTGCGAATTTTGGATCACTAGCTTGTCTAGCAGTAGGAGTGGTAGTAATTACTGTAAAGGTAAGGTAATAACAAATGTAAATTGAGATTATGGTAAATGTGAACGCATCCAATGCGAAAGTGTTATATGACTCAGCTGTAAGCTAGTCACAAAAATATATTTTTTATATGAGTCTATAAATTGTGGAGATATGAAGTAATTGTTTCAAGTGGACCAGTTTTGTACATTGCTTGCTACTAGCGGATATGATTATATGATTTAGGCACATTTTAACAAAACTCCTTAATCATCCACTTCAAATATGTACCCTTTTTTTATTATATACAATAATATCACGAGATAAAATACTTAAAATCTAAGCGTACAAAATGTGTGATGCCCAGGATGTAATAGAAAATATCAATTAATATTAATTAACAAGTGATGTCATTAATTCATCGGTAGGACGACCGCGGGATCGGCATCAAAGATATTTATTCTAGAATGTTTGCTAATATTACCAACGGCAGCTTCGTATAAAATGTCGGAAATTAGCTTTTCCGCTACTAGTGAGACATCTGGTGAGAGATCACGCAACTTGTACGCAATGTTTTTTCCGATCACGTCGAATTTGTCTTCTTTCGGATCGTGTTTGTCGAAAAATCCGTTCATGTTAGGCAGAGATTCAGCTAGTTTACGTTTCCTTCGCTTAGGTGCAGGTATATTGCCATTATTTACAACGTTAGTAACAAGATTCGGTACTCCTAAAGATAATTCTATTATTGGTTCGGATTTGTCTTGCTCGCCGCCGAATTGAGGAGGTGGATGTTGGGCGTGCATATCGGGTAATATGGAATCATCCATAATTTCTCTTTTTGTTATCAATCCAGCTTCCATCTGAAAATATATATTAATTAATACTTTAAGCCGACTTGTAAACTAACCTAAAATAATGTAAGTTACTGACAAAATCTAACCTATCATGAGACTCCAGACCACAACATTTGTGATCAGACAAAAACTTAAAATTCTTATAAATTAAATTTACTGCATTCTTTCAAAAATTGACATTATAAAAGGGCTTTATTTCGCGAGTTAATCATTTGAATAACCTGTTTTTAAATGTGAAATCCGGTTATACCTGAGTATACATTTTACATTTGCCTGTTAAGATAAAAAATTACCTTTGGATCATTAAAAATGTTGGGATGTCTTGTTCGCAAATGTGTGCGGAGATTCGTAGTGCCTCCGCCTGTTTTAAACTGTTTCATACAAATAGAGCAGAGCGCCTCGTAAACACCGCATTTAGTAAAATACTTCCATACCGACGAGTGCGCCATAACAAACCAGCAAGCAAACCGAGAACCGCGTACACACCGATCGCACTGCACAACAACCGATTTCTCAGTACCGTTGTGAAACAACCGGAATGGCAGTGGCAAAATACGCCATTGACAATCAAGAAAGAAACGAACAAAACATAGGAGCATTTTGAAGTGGAATAGAGACAGCGCTGCATCAATCCAGTGCTGCCACCGGTATTAAACCTGTGAAAAAATTCACTAGGCTATAAACCGGTTTGTTCGATGTAGGCAACCGGTAGATTTACTTCACAATTTATTCAGCAGTGGTACATAGTTTGCGTGAGTGTGGGTTCCAATCAGCAGCAGTGTGTGATTGTCCGTTGAGTGCGTCGATGGGTTGAAGTTGCCGCTGATTGCCTCCAGGCCGCCACGATTGATATGCCTTGATAACGACTCGACACGCGCTCAGAATGATTGACCGCAGTTTACCGGCGGTGGGTACGTCGCGTTAATTCTGCAGGTATCGTGATGGACGCCGACGGCATCGGCTTGTCGTTCAACCGGGCGCAGCGTTTCGTGCTTGGTTGCTTCGTGCTGCTGCTTGTCGACGTGATTTGGGTGTCATCTTCAGAACTTACAAAGGTATAAAATAAGAACTCATATTTATTTTGAGGACAAACAAATATCATATTTTATTACAGTTTATTTATCAGCATGAACAATTTGAGAAGCCCTTCTTCTGCACATACCTGAAGACATCAATGTTCACATTGTACCTGCTGGGGTTTTGCTTCTGGCCTCCATGGAGAGACAGTTATTGCAACAAGCCACACAACTACATGTTTATTGACCCTGATCAGGAGGATGAAAATTTTTATTCTGAAGCCAACACAAGTCTGGTAATTGTTATTAAAGAAATCAAATATTTATCATAAATATTAAATTATTTTATTGTTGCAGAGTAATCCAGTTTATGTGCCTGTGAAAACAACAGAGCGCGAGATTGTGCACGATCGCAGTTCGGGCACCGAGAGCGATGATTCCTCGATTCGCTCGGTTCGATTTAATAAATTGGCTGAGGTGCGACATATGAGCGAAATGGAAGCCACCGAAGCGCTGCTCGCACGACTCAGCTATCAGGCGAGTGTTCGTGCTGGTGAGTTAGCCAAGCGCGCCGCCATTAAACTTCCTATGATGAAAGTTGCCAAAATTGCGTTTATCTTTTGCCTTTTGGTAAGTTTTATCGTTAAGTAAATTTACTCACCAAATACACACCTATTGTAAATAAGAATATGTGTGTTACATGTGTAAAACACTTTTTTGTTATTTAACAGAGTTTTATTGTGTTTTTAGTGGTTTGCGGCGAATTACACCTTTCAATTGGCATTGGCCGAAACCGAGGCTGGCATGGTCACCGTCCTGTCTTCCACCTCCAGTTTATTTACACTGGTACTGGCTGCCATCTACCCTTCCGGGTCCACTGACAAATTTACGTTGTCAAAACTTGGTGCGGTTATTTTGAGTATTACCGGAGTTGTAAGTTAATTTTTTTACAGAAATTAACTTTTATATATCTAAATTGTTTTTCCAAAGGTTTTAGTAAGTTTGTCTGGATTATCTCATCAATCTCAAATACCATTGGGCATCGCCTTGTCCATTCTAAGCGCGTTTTTCTACGCAACATACATCGTATTCCTAAAGCGCAAGGTGGAACACGAGGACAAAATGGACATTCCGTTGTTTTTTGGCTTTGTGGGTCTGTTTAATCTCATTCTGCTTTGGCCATTGTTTTTCTTCTTCCACTACAGCAACTGGGAGCACTTTGAGTTGCCGACAAAGCATCAGTTGATGTTTCTGCTCGTCAACGGCGTACTGGGGACGGTCATTTCGGAAGCGTTGTGGCTTTGGTAAATAAATAAAACGAAATAAAATATGCATGCGTGTTGTAATAAACTGAAATTATTTATTCTAGGGGTTGTTTCCTGACATCATCTTTGATGGCGACCGTTGCCATAAGTTTGACCATTCCAATGACGATGCTTGCAGATGTATTCTTACAGCGCGTCTCCTACCCGTGCCTTTTTTACTTGGGCACTGTTCCGATGATTCTTGCCTTTGTTGCCGTCAGCTTCCTTTCGCACTATGACAATTGGGATCCGGTGATGGACTTTCTACGATGTGCCTGCAGCGCTCTGTTTAGACGTAGATACCGGTATGTTTTAATTATCCAAAAAATATTGTCATTAATTATAACAATTAGTTTCAGATTTGCTGAACCACCGTCTGAGCAAACCGAAGCGTTAATCGGGATCAACACTACCAATGACCATGAGGCGTGAAAAAGAAAACAACCAGAATATACATTTAAAAAAAATGGTGCTTGAGAAAGAAAAGAACAATAATGTGATTTTAATTTTAAATTTGTTTTTAAATTGTGATTTACATTAACGTACTATAAAATCTATCCAATCTTAATTTAAGTACATGATGAGTAGGATAAACTAAGTTAGTGATTAGCGCCACATAAACATTTCCATTTTTAAATTGTAAAACATTCAACAGACGTGTTCCATGCTAGGCAAGTGGACTGTAGCGCACTGTGATTTATTTGTTTATTGATAATTTAATCGAAAGCAACAAAATTCAAACCGGAAACCACGCGTCGAACGCAACAAAACGACTGAAATTAACACATACAATAATTAAATACTTTTATTGTACTGAATGGTAAATGTGTCTAGCGGAAAATTGAAATTCTTGCCGTTTCAAAACCTACTATGTACTGTTCTCATTAGATACTATGATGAAGTTGTTATATTGAGTAATTGAGAGACTTCGAGTAATAGAACACGCAAATACGACAGAGTATAATAGCATTCATATTTTACAAGAAATGAATACAATAACATGCGATATACATATATTTTTAATAACTTTATTCATAAATTAGTCATGTATTTTCGTACACATTGTATGTACTTTGCTGCATAACTGAAAAAAGAAACAAAAAACAAAGACCGTACTTATTGTATATAAAGTTATTGTATTGTAAAATGTAAATGACGTTAAATTAAGCAAAACAAAAAACAAGATGTCGTTATTGTAACATTGTAGCAGTTACATAAATCAAATGAGAAATATCTCTCGATGTACAACAATTGAAATATTTGTCAAAACTTAATTATTGTCGTTGACTTGCATCGTTTATTGCAGTATTATACTGACAATCTTGAAGTTACATGGATTTATAATTTTTTTTATACAACTGCTAATCACATTTTGATTCGTTCCAGACGCTTGTTGCTTATTAGAATGCTATAATTGATTCGCTTGCGCAGAGTGAGATGCAGGGTGGAAGGCCGTTCGCATACAATACAAGTATTAATAATTTGAGTGGTGACGCAGGTGCTTCGTACGTATTTTCATCGGCGTGAAAGCTTAATATCTTTAGTTTTATGTTTCTTGTTTGTTTAGGAACGTAGAAGGATTGCGCAAGTTAGCCCTTTCATATAAAAGCACCATGAAGGGTAAACAAAGTCTGGAGAAATACCACAACGCAACGAAACCAGCACAGAAATCGGTGGATCCAAGGTTTAGACGGGCGCGAGTAGCACCAACCTGCGAGATTATGACAAGATCGGACACTAAGGTACCGTCACCATTTCATCCTATGAGGCATGTACCCAAATCGGCCCCGACGGTTTCCTCCATGCCCTCGTCACCAAAACATAGTCCCCGAAAGAAGAACAAATATCTTCTTACAAAAATGCGGTCCCAGATCACAGCGGATGCGTTTGGTGATTTGGCGGCGGACTTGACGAATAAATTAAAGCAAGAATCTTGTGGCACTGATGAAAATATTAAGAATAGGAATAAACCTAGGCCGTTTCGACGAATGCACAGTTTCATAGAGAGAACCGATACCAAAGAGCAAAGAAATGATGATGCCTTTGATGTGATTTTACCAGTTGCAGTAGAAAATAAGAAAATAGTTGAGAATTGCGAGGACCCATCTGAGTAAAAATTGTTTTTATACAGATTTTAATTGAACATTTTATAAATTCGTGTTTTAAAGGCCCCAACGTGTGAAGGACCCGATATATACAACAGAATGTGCATCACAAATACCTTCTGGTAATGGCTCTCGAGTCTTGAACACATATATTCCGCCGCCAATAGAAATAAAAACTCAAGACACGTTTTCAAAGAGTATGGTAACGCTACCATTGTCCACTATATCTACTGAAGAAAAAGGTTGTGTGTGCCGTAACTGCAGCCGTATGTACAACATCAAAAATAAGGTCTCCTGGCATTGTAAGGCAGCTTCATTTGCTGGGACCGACAGCATTTTCAAAGCTCTGGAATATTCACAACATCAGGAAAAGCATCATGATGAGAGTAAGTAATAACATTAATTTTTTTAATGGCGGATTTTAATATTGAGATGTTATTGTATATGTAGTATGGATCGTGTGGTGTTTATACGTCTTGGGTTGCATCTGCGGATTGTTACTGGTATCGAGTTTGGTGTGGGTATTGTCCAACGAAATTCTGTGGAACTGGGTTTATCCACCAAAGGAACCGCCGCCACAATCGCCATCACTTTATTCCTTCTTCTCGAACTGCGGAGCGACGATCATCTTTACGGTCAATTTATTTTTAAGCACTGTCTATAAAATTATGGCACTGCCAGTGAGTATAAACTTTTTTTAAACTATCCATACATCGTAAATTTTTCTTCTTTATTCAGAGGAGTTCAGTATTTGGGGCTGCCGGCGAAGAAACTGATCTACATTGGTAGTAGAAATGCAAGTAATTAAATATATAAAACCCTTATCGTAAAAAAAAGATTAAAAGGTGTCATGGCGTCGAAGCAGTATTTGAAATTTTCAAAATGGCGTCTTACAACAATTAAAAGAAGTTGTAACTTTACTAAAGACATTAATCTCAAATAAAACAGATGAATACTTGAATTAATAAGATATATTTAAACCAAAATAAGTGAGAACCAATCAAATATTTTATTTTTGTTTTTATTTCTTAGCAAAACAAATCAGATATTATAATTAAGTTCTCCTGTTGAATCCACCACCAGCGGCCGGCTGCGTCAGTTGCAGTCCACTGATGTTGTTGAACTCCAGGCTCTTCAACATGTCCCTGGTTTCCGGATCAACCTCAATGATGTCGTGCTCCAGAGCGGATACTTCTGGCACATAGTTATCGCGCCTTTCCCTTTCTTCTTCTTGAAGTTTAATGGAAATTCCGCGCACCTGAGAATGACGCAGACGCTTCATCAAATGCGTAACAAAACCGGCGATTTTGTTCCTCAATGGCTTTGAGGGGATGATTGCGATTTCCTCGCATACGCGCTTGTTGGTGTCGAAATCCAACGTCAAGCGGGTGTAGTACTTCTCAATGATAACTTTGGACGCCTTCTTGACGGTTTTGGTACGTACACGACCCATGTCTGCAGCAAATACGAGAAGGTAGCATTAGATTTGTATGCTTTTGGTTGTTTATTATCAATTTGGGGCTAACTTACTTGTTTATTTCACTTCACACGGCACACGAAGAAACGTGGTCGACGAGAGTTTCGACAGAAAGAGAGGTTCAGTGCGGTGCAGTGTTTTCTCCACTTGTGTCAGTGCTTTATTTCTGGTGGTATAGTAAAATCCCCAAAAATTACTAGTTTTGCCTTGTGACGTCATGCCGATGATAAACGAAGGAATGCTTACTTACTTTACTAGTTTTTGGTTCAATGAAATTGAAAAAATGATTATTTAAATTTTGTTTTGAGCCGAAGTTGAATTCTAAATAATGCGTTTGTTATGTTAATATAATTTGATACGAATGCATCAAGTTTGTACAGGGAATTGTAGCTCCATCTAGCAAACGTACTGGCAGCCTATAATTTTTGGAGCATGTGAGAATTCAAGTATGGCGGCAGCTGCTGGATTAATGTCTTGACATATTTGATTTGCTACCCAAATAAAAGTGAAATACGTGCCACAAGTAGATAGTAAATCGTGCACAACGCACATACAAGATGACGTCCGGAAAAGATACAATGGGGTAGGCAACATGCGCTTCATGCCGGTGCTGGCTGCAATTGAACATTTCGTGAAATACGCGGGCGGATTTGCTAGACGCACCTAACCACAAGTTAAATGCCCCACTCAGAAACAAACAAGCGACGATCGTTCCGCCTGATTGTTTTATAAGCGCGACAGTGTTCAATTAGGCCAGTGCTCTCGTTTCCGCGATCGTGCGACCAGCGAGGAAATTCCGCGCAATACTGCAGACAAGGTGCCACTCCCCCACATTAACCAGATCATGATGCCTTCTGCTTCCAGTGAGCAGCCTATCTTCACGTGCAAGGCGCACGTCTTCCACATCGACCCGAAGACGAAACGCTCGTGGATGCCGGCTTCCAGCAGCGCCGTCAGCGTCTCCTTCTTCTATGACTCCTCCAGAAGTTTGTACAGGATCATCAGTGTTGAGGGTTCAAAGGCAGTCATCAACAGTACTGTTACACACAATATGACTTTTACCAAGACCTCACAAAAGTTTGGCCAATGGTCTGACGTGCGCGCGAATACAGTATATGGACTTGGTTTTCCTCAGAAGCTGAATTACAAAAGTAGATATTTATACATTGAATTTTCAGTTATTTTTACTGATTTTTGTCATTTTGTTTTAGTTTATTGACAAATTCAATGAAGTAAAGGAAGCAACACGCAGTGCCATCACCAAAGTGACCGCCAACGGTGGTACGGCCGTTACCCCTGTGACCAGTGCCAATGCAAGCCCCATCACCGCTCGAGCCGCTAGCGGAACCCCTGACAATCTTGAAAATCTCTTGGAGCCACCAGGTAATAATCAAATTACACATACATTGACCGAAAATTAATAAATAGTTTTTGTTGTAGGAAACTCGGCCATAATATCTAATGCCAGTGTAAAAGAAGAAGACCTGCCACATCCACGCAGTCATTCGATTTCGGGCGTTCAGAGCAACGAAAGCCCCAGTCATCAAATCAAAATCGAAAAGACCTATTCGCTATCGACCTCCAGTGGCGGAAACAACAGCAATACCAACGATATGCAGCTGAAGTACGAGAACGACCGACTCAAACTGGCTTTAGCACAAAGGTAACTTTATTCATAACAACTTAACATACAAACAAGAATTCATTCTACATTGGGCCTAGAATTTGAGCGCTTTAGTATCCACCAAAGTCATGTCCATGCTCGTGTCCGTGTTCTTCGTGATTGGGCTTTCCAATTTTGTGCACCACGGCATTGAAACCACTGTGCTTGTCAGCGGTGTATTCAACTACTCTTGTAGTACCATCGGCTTCCTTTAGCGTATATGATCCCTTCACTGAGTCGCCATCGCGTTCCTCTTGATGTTGCTTTTCGTCACCGGTATGTGGATCATGCACCGCGTAGTTATAGTGATATTTAGGATGAGCCTATACGAAAATGTATTTATAACCGGGATACAATTTAGGGGTATTACTTACATAGTAATCTTTGTGGTCGTGATGTTCTTCATGACCACCATGATCACCGAAATCTGCCACAACTTCATGTCCACCCTCGTGCCCTCCTTCGAAATCTTCGAAACCACCTTCATAGTGTCCAGCGCTGGCGAGCGCGATAAATATCAGCACATAAAACGCCTGAAATTTTATATTTGTTATTGTAATCCAATAATCACAGTATCACCAACTTACGGTTGATGTGTACATTATTATTGTTTAATTGGTCTACGTTTGCACTAAAGAAGTTGTGAGATGTTGGTGCACTACTGACTTCTAGGATTTCTAATTTTGTTTTTATAGTAGTCGGCCACCAGAGTTGACGCATCCCTACTTGCACACTAACGCTTTCTTTCGCTTTCCACCACCCGATTTATGTTCTCACATGCGCGCATCGCGAATTAACATAAAGCTTCTTCTCACCTCTGACTTTACTTGTTTCGTGTTATTACGAAGTGTTGCCGTCATATTTAAATCATGTTCGATTGTTGTCGTTATTAATGGAACTCAGTTAATGAAACACTCTGTGGTTGTCACGGGGGGTTGCTCCCATTAATTGCTTAATAGACTTCTCTCGCGTTTGCTTTGCATTTACATTCATTTTTTGGATTCTTTGTAAGTTGGCACTTATTACTTACATCAGTCAGGGTCCAATTCACCGGATAACAATCGAAATGCGTTCGGAAGCATAGCT